TTACTTCATTGCAAGCATTATTCATTCATTTGCCTTCTCAGTTATTCAGCAAATGTTTATTGGATGTCTACTCTGTGCCAAGCCAGCACTCTGTAGGTGCTGGAGATGCTGTGGCCAGTGATCCTCCTTCCAGGAGCCAAAATAAGAGAAATAAATGATCTCGCAGAGGCTTTATGGGTGCTACTGGAACACAGAGGAGGGGCACTAAAACAGAGACTCCTGTTGTCAACCAAATGCGTTCTCCCCATTGAACAGAATTGTAGCCAGGAACACGGCTCCCCAGTCAGGCTACATTCCCCGCCGTTTCTTGCATCCGTGTGTAGCCATGTGTGAATTCCTGCCAATGGCATGTGAGTTGAATCCTATGTGCCGCCTCTAGTCAGGCCTTAAGATCTCTTCCATGCCCTTCTCCTGGAACCCAGATATGGTGGCGACCGAGCCTCAGCCATGCCAGCGATGACAATGCCCTAGGGGAGTTGGCCCTAAGGGATGGAAGAACAATAATTTGGAAGGAACATAAGTCCCCAAGTGACCATGAGGAGCAGAGCTGACCTACACCTTTCACGCTGTTAGAGGATAGTGAAACTTTTTGTTCATTAGGCCATTGTATTATTGGGTGTATGGCAAGGTTTCAGCACTAAGTCACTATCAGGTGTAACACTTTAGCTTAAATCAGTTCACGTGACTGCTTTTCCTGAGAACAATGACATAACGTATGAATCTAACAGACCAGAGGTCAGAAAGTTAAGAGTTGGAGTTTATGGAAGAACACAGGTATAAAGGAATCAAATCTGGTGTGCTCACACTGGGTTCCTAATGTACACCACCTTGTTCACTGCAAGGTTTGGCAATAAAATAGAATACTATCAATGATGTCCTTTATGATGCTTTCAAGGAAAGTTAAGTAAATGGGTAAGCTATCTCCATTTTAAACTTTGTTCCCATACATTTGGCCCTTGTTGCCTTCTATCTGCCTGCCAGTAGACAACACCAAATGAACTTAGAGCAAACAAAATATTTTCATACTTAAAAATATATTTGAAATTACAGAATTGGCCCATGCTTATTGTGAAATAAGCAATATAGAGGATGTGATGTGCAGGTCACACTTCCCCATTCCCGGACCATGCTCAAGGAACCTCATTCAAACATTCGGTGTGTCCCCTTCTTTCCTTTGACCTTTGCTGGGAGGCAGTGTCAGAGTGGGAGCTGAAGAACGGTGGGGCCAAAGAGGTGGCTGATGTGGTTAGGAAATTGGTTATGTACAGGGATTGAGCAAATAAGTAATTACACTGAGGATAATGTGAGTCAAGTTTCTCATTGTTGGATAAGGGAGTTATAAAAGCAGATATGGGGTGAGCAGTTAAAAAAAAGGAAAGCAGGGAAACTAGAGGGAACCTGAGGTGTTTGGTTAGAGTTGGAGGTATTAGCGTGAACTCATGGTTTCAAATATATACGTACTTAGATACACAGATATAGCTATACGTATTATATGCATGTATACTTACCTACGTATGTGTCATATCTGCAAAAAGGGCTTAGAAGCAATGACATCCAAAAAGGAATGAGCAACCAAGCATACAGATCTTGGTTTCTAAATCCTAACTTCCACTAAAAGAAGAATAGACTGATTCCTGGGCTGGAGCTGGGAAAATTCAAGAAGCGCCTTCCTGGTACAAATAAGAAAGTGCACAAAGAATGAGGGGGTCATATGAAAACGACAGAGGAGCCAGCTTAGAGGGCCTCCCATAGGCCAAATCTGGGACAAATTGAGCATTAAAATAATGATGTAAATAAATTACATCCTGTGAATAAAACAGAAATTTATGGGCCCATGCTGACATAAATACAAAATGAATAAATGAATGGGAAGAAGGGAAAGCTCTCCTTCACAGTAGAATGCCAATCATTTGACTCTAGTCATGGTGCTGGTTGATTCAGGTAGGAGTCAACAACGGATGAGGAGTATCTGTCTCACACACACACACACACACACACTCTCTCTCTCTCTCTCTCTCTATATATATATATATATAGAGAGAGAGAGAGAGAGAGAGAGAGAGATGAAGTCTTGCTCTGTCTCCCAGGCTGGAGTGCAGTGGCGTGATCTAGTCTCACTGCAAGCTCTGCCACCCAGGTTCACACCATTCTCCTGCCTAAGTCTCCTGAGTAGCTGGGACTACAGGTGCCTGCCACCACACCCAGCTAATTTTTTTGTATTTTTTAGTAGAGATGGGGGTTTCACCATGTTAGCCAGGATGGTCTCGATCTCCTGACCTTGTGATCCACCTGCCTCGGCTTCCCAAAGTGCTAGGATTACAGGCGTGAGCCACCGCGCCTGGCCCACAAAATATTTATCAATTTATGGTGAAAAAACCTGACACCACCACCTTGACCAGGCAATTAAGGTTAACATCACCAGTGGTGGGGCAGATCAACCTCATGTACTTCCTGATGTGATGCACTGAGAAGAGCCCAGCATCATTTATACGGAGTCCCTCCATGAAGGCATGGCTGGGGTCTGGACATAAGCAAATAGCAGACAGCCCCAGGTTGAGGGACATACTACAGAATGAAAGGCGCTTACTCTTTTAAACTGTCAAGGGCATGAAGACAGGACAAGATGGAGGAAATGGTCCAGAATGAAGGAGAGTAGAACGATGACAACAAAATGAAACTTGTACTCCTGGATTGGATTCCAACCAGAAGGGAAAAAGACATTGTTGAGACAGCTGGTGGTATTTGGATGGGGTCCATGGATTGTATGGTAGCATAGTACCGATGCTTACTTCCTAGTTTGAGTGGTTGTGTTGTGGTTGTGTGGAAGAGAGGCCTTGTTTAGGGGGAATACCCACTGGAGTATTTAGAGGTGATATGATAGCAGGTCTGCAACTTAAAAACTTTTAAAAAAGAATAGATCAATGGATGCAGCTAGACGCCATTATCGTAAGGGAACTAACATAGGAACAGAAAACCAAACATTGCACATTCTCACTTTATAAGTGAGAGCTAAACATTGAATACACAGGGACACAAAGATAGGAACAATAGACACTGGGGTCTGCTTAAGGGGAAGGTAAGAGGGGGGCGTGGGTTGGAAGGATACTCATTGGGTATTAGGCTCACAACTTAGGCCACAGGATCATTCGTACGCCAAACCTCAGCGACACACAATTTACCCACATAACAAACCTGCAATATACCCCTGAACCTAAAACAAAAGTGGAGAAAAAATATTTTCTCAGACTTAAAAAAAAAAAAGTATTTTTATGCTTGGAAGGATTTTACAGAGGGCTTCCAGAAACATGTCTGATTTCCAGTTGCAAGATCAGAATGTTCCAGTTATATTGATAACCTCCAGAGAAACAAACTCTCATGAGTAATCTAGTCAAAACAGAAGATGTAGCTAATTATTTCTAAAATACTAAATTGTACTCTACTGTTTAACAAGTTCGGGATCGCTATTTTCCAGCACATCTTCTGAAGTAACAACTGTGGCTGTGTTGACAATAAAGGTCTGTGTGGAAAAGGGAGAAAATGAGTAAAACGATGTATCCCCCCACCCGCGAAAAAAGAAAATAGTTCAAATAGAATGGAAAAAGAATAATGAAAATGAGAATATTCACAGAGAGAAAGAGGGCAATGGAGGAAACGTGAAAACTTAGTAAGTAGAGAGCGTGGCGAAGGGGATACAGGAGCTCTTAGAAACTCTTCTTGCCATTTTCTCTGCAACTTTTATTTCAAAACGAATTAAGTTTTGTGACTATCCATCCCATTTTTCCGTATACACATATCCAGAAGCTCAGGCCCCAAC